TCGGCGAAAGAGTCCAAGCCAACGAGGCCAAGATGGCCCTATTCGAGGAGAGCACCAACAAAAGCTTCGCCGAACTCCGCTCCAAGCTAGACGCCATGAACTCTGGCATCTCCACGGACAAGGCCGACGTCCTCATCAAGCTGCAGGAGCAGGTCGCCGCGCTGAGCTCGCAGGTCTCGACAATTTCGCGGCCTCCATCGCTTACTTCTGCAGCTTCGTCTGGCTCCCAAGTGCGACGTCCTCGCGCTGCCGCAGCCGGGCCATGTGACGAGAGCAACCCGTGCCGCCTCTGGGCCAGAGGCTTCCCGCGCAAGCTGATGCAGACGCAGTTTGAGGCGCACTACTCGGTCCTCAGGTCCAATCTTCCATCTGAGCTGGCATCCAAGGTGACGCCGAAATTCCAGAACTTCAAGTACTCGTACGCAATCGACTTCGAGAGCAAGGCCCAAGCCGACAGCTGCTGGGGCCACTTCAAGGGCATCACGATGAGGTGTATCGACCCGCGCACCTCGCTGACCCACGACCTTCGGCTCGGCAAGGACCAGCCATTGCCCGTGCGGCACAAAGCCTACGCGCTGGGACTCGCCTACAACATCATCCAGACTGAGATGAAGAGCAAGGGGTTGTGGAACGCAGCCGCCATGAAACTCGGCACCAACCCGTTCCAGGGCATCCTCTACTTGATGGAGAACGGCGACCCATTCGAGATGGTCAAACTGAAGGAGGTGATCGGCAACGGTGACGGACGCTTCGAGATCGACGTCGACGCTGAGAGCTTCAAGCACTTCCGTCTGGAGGAATCGTTCACGAACGGGCTCTCGGACCGTGTCCAGGCGCTGCTGGCTGAGTAGGAAATTCCTGAGCAGATATCCTGTGCCACTCTCGCACCGCCCCTCTCGCGCCGCCGTCTGGAGGACGGCTCTTGTTCGCCGAGCTTTGCAGATCGTGTGCGCGGCGAAGCCTCGCAGGCTATGGGTGCCCACGCACAAGATCCGCTGGATGGCAGATCTCCTCCTCCCGTGCCTCCTCCTCCATTTGGTGCTGAAGAGAGTGCAGCTTTCATAATTCGCAACAAGTTAAGTATCGTTTCATATAATTCGGCCACTCTGTTTGGTAGCGTGCGCGGCTCACATGCACGGCAAAGCAAGAAACTAGCAAAGATAACACAGCTTATCAACAAGTATGACATTGTCCTGTGTCAGGAAACTCACGGTTCTGAAGGCGACTTAAGCTCTCTAGAGCGCGACTTCCCATCTCACGTCCACTTCGGCTCTTTCTGCTCTATCTCGTCTAGTGGTGGCTGCACTATTTCAATACGTAAGTCTGCGATGAACTGGTTTGAAGGCCAGCCTGAGATCACCCATATCAGTGGAGGGCGATGCATCTCCGCACGGGTGACGGGTGCGAAAGGCACGATGTTGATCATGAACATACATATCGAGCCCCTCCTCCCTCATCAAGCAAAATATGATCTCATGTCGCGTGCAGCTCGAAGTATACCTAGCAGCAACACGTGCCTCTCCTTCTTGGCTGGAGATTTCAACTTTGTTGAAGAGGATGATGTGCGCATCCCCCTCGACGGCAGCGAGCCCACGGTAGGGAGCACCACTCTGGCCAGGCACTTCGGCGCCGTCTTCCCGTCCTTCTGCGAGATTGCGCAGACGGACTGCACCCACAGGACTCAAGTGCGCAACGTGGTCACCTCGGTCGCTCGGCTCGACAGGATCTACACGAATGCCCCCACCGGTGAAATATTAGACTGGCACCCCAAATCTGGAACTATTGGTCTCGCACACATCATCGATGAGGTGTCCGATCACATTCCTGTGTTTCTGCTGCTGTCTCCTGGGTCCTCGAAGAGCCAGAGCATCCCTAGGTGGGTCTCTGAGCATCCCGAGTTCGGTCAGTTGATTGAATCCCTCATCGAAGAGGTAGGCCTCGACGGCTCCCCCTTTCAGCAGCTGCGCCTGCTGAAGGACATCTTTTTCGCCGCTAGGGAGGAGCTGACACATCGGATGTTCAAGGGCGGGGTCCTGACCGACAAGCAAAAGATCGCTGTGTGTTTAAAAGCCATGCGGGCCCTTCGGGCTCACTCGCCTGGTTCGTCCTGGAGCCAATCCTCTTCCTGGGTCAAAAAGTGTATGAAAGCTTATCCCGAGTTGGCTAGGTTTATTGATTCTGACAGCTGCAGTTATTACGACTATAACGCGTTCCATGGTCATTTGAATGAGCTCAGCAGCGCGGTCATCCTGGAGGATGTCGCGCAGCTGCCTAGCGCTGAGCACGGTTTACAGGAAGTCGAGCAGCAGCGAACTCGACTTCACCAGCGTCTGAAATCTTGGTCGCCGAAGCGGCGGCGTCTCAACTTGAGCGGCATTTCTGCGCCTGACGGCTCCCCTCTTGGCTCTCTGGAGGAAAGTGCCCAAGCGCTGGCGACACATTGGGGCGAGGTACATTCTCAGGGACCTGGGCGTCACCCGAAATTTCTGGAAATCCTGTGCGAGCTTTCTGAAGATATTCCTCGGGCTGCTCCTGGTATTGAGTGGGAAATCGACTTCGGGACCTTCCCAGGGATCGTCGTTAGTCGCCGCGAATCAGCTTGTGGTCCTGATGGAATTCCATATTCGTGTTGGAGACACGCAGGAGAGCGCGCTCACCGAGTAATATTTGAAGCATACCAAGCATTATGCGCAGGAGCCAGCTTGCCTTCGGGGTTTAACCACGGGCAAACGGTGTTTCTTCCCAAAGATGTTCTTCCAAACGATCATGAGTCTATAGTCCGTCCATCTAGCCAAGTTCGGCCGATCACACTTAGCAACACCGACAACAAGCTCTTGGCTAGTGCGATCTGTGTTCCCATGGGACAGCAGGCAGTATTTTCAACCGACCCGATGCAAAAAGGCTTCGTCAAAGGCAGATACCTGATAGACAATATCCTCGATATTGAAGGCAAGTTTCTAGAATACGCTTGTTATAACGACTGCCCTTTCGCCGGCCTGTTCTTGCTGGACCTGAAAGCGGCGTTTCCGTCGCTGTCCCACAGGTGGATTCAGCACGTGCTGCAACGCATGGGCATCCCCGATTTTATCCTTCATGCAGTTGACCAGCTGTATTCCGACCTCTACTCCTTCATCATTCTTGCTGGAAAAAGGTTCCCTGGGTACCGTATCACCTGCGGCATAAAACAGGGGTGCCCTCTTTCGGGCGCCCTCTTCGCCCTGGCCTTCGACCCCGTGTTACGGAAGCTGGAAAGGATTTTAACACGTTTACCGACACCTACCTCCCCGTTCGCTTTCGCTGACGACGTTGGCGCTGCGATGGCTGACTTGAGGCAGTCCTTGCCCGCGACGATGAAGCACTTTCTCAGGAGCTCGATCGTGACAGGTCTTCTCCCGAATTTGAAGAAGTGCGCGATTGTCCTTGCCGTGGAGTTCGACAGAACCGAGCTAAATAAAGAGTTCAAAAAGTGGGGGATCAACATAAAGCCCTTCCAGGTCGGCACCCACGGGAAATATCTTGGGGTAATGATCGGCCCGACTGGGCCTGCTGCTTCGTGGCATCCTGTTCTGGTCAAATTTCTTTCCAGGATCGGGCATATTAAGACGCTGAAGCTCGGTTTAGTTCAGAACATCTACGCCTACAACTCGCTAGCTTTCTCAATCTTGACGTACCTGATGCAGGTACTACCGGTTAGGCCCGAAGTGATCCGAGCCGAAACGAACGCTCTTCAAAGGCTGACCATGGGTCCGAGGTACGCCATCCCTTCCCTGGTCCTCAAGTACTCCCTGGACTTTGGGTTCCCTGTCGAGCCCCGCAACCTCCAGGCCACGAACAAGGCCGCGATGTTTCGGATCGCCATCCAGAGTTCAGCCTTCGCGAGAGTGAAGGAGCGTCTGCATTTTCTTGAGCACGAAGATGTCGAACGGCTGGCTGTTGTTCGGCATAAATCTTGGCTTGCTGAGTCTATGTGCGGCTCCCTGATTAAGAACTGGAACGAGCTCACGACGATTTGCCCGACGATCAACGAGTATACGCACGACATACAGCGAAAAGTCACCATTGCCGTTGCCAAAAATCAGGGACGCCCCTCGATGCCAGTCCTGCTCTTCCCAAGGATTCGGAAGTTCTGGAGTGAGGCCCCCGTAAGCCACGCCAATTTTATTTTTCGAGCCATTTTCCTCGCCGCTACCGAACAAGCCCCCTTCGTTGCCTCCTCTCTCCTCAAATCCGTTTGTAACGCGTGGCCCACGTCGGCCAGATTTCGTTCAGGGAACCGTTGTTGCGTCATGGGCTGCGGTGCCGCAGACTCCGACCACATAATGCATTACTTTCAATGTCCTGTGCTGCTGCCACTGCTTCCTAGTATCATCCCGTCGCTGCCGCCTGATTTTCTCGAGTGGAATGCCCTCGATCGATTGCTGTTGAGACCTCTTATGCCGTCCAGCCGAGCCTTGCATGGTACCATTCTAATGCACGATCTTTTACTCACAACTTATAACGCCATCCGTTCACAGTCATCTCAGGCAGGCCCTGTTAGGGTGGAGGCCTTGATGCGGGCGAGGGCCCGCGCAGTAGCCAAGCGCAAGAGGGCCATTCGCGAGCTGCTGATCCAAGGCACCTAGCCCCCTATGGAGCCTGACATCATCATCACCGTCAACGTCATCATCATCGTCATCAACATCATCATCATGATCATTGTCATCGTCGTTGTCATCGTTGTCATCATCATTATCGTCATCGTCATCGCCACCGTCGTCTTCATAATCATCGCCATCGTCATCGTTACAATCATCATCGTCGTCGTCATCGTCGTCATCGTCTTTGACATCATCGTCATCATCACCATCATCAGCATCGTCATCATTGCCAGCATCATCGTCGTCGTCGTCGCTCCGCCCGCCCCTTCCCTGGCCCGTCCCGCCGGTTCGCACCCTCTCCTCGCTCGCGTGCGCGCGGCCCCCCCTGGCCGCGCCGTGTCCCGTCGCTGGCGGGCGGGCCAGGAGAACGTGAAGCTCTTGTCGGCCAGGACCCGTGCAAGTCTCGCGCTGCGCGGGCACGTCGGGGGCCCCTCGTTTCGGAAGGCACCCATTTCTAGGCCTCCCAGAGGGGGTCCGAGCAGATGGGGTCGGAGGACTGCGCCGCATTGCCGACGCATCGGCGGTGCGGCTCGATGATGAGCCCGATCCTCTTCACGCCCAGGTCGCCGACGCATCGCCGACGTCGACGATGCAGCGCCGATGTATCGGCGATGCGGCGCGAGCCTTCGGCTCCACCTGTTCGAACCACCTGGGAGGCCTCCGGAGCTTTCTGTGCGGGCACGTCCGGGGGGCACTCATTCTCGGAGGGCACCAGTTGTACACCTGCACCGATCCTGGCCAGGCCGAGCCTGGGCCCAGGATCGATGTATCTGCCGTCGTGCCCAAGCCAGGAAGGCGCATGCACCGATCCTGAGCCTAGGATGAGCCTGGTCCGGCTCGGCGTAGGTGCGTTCCGGTGCATAGTGGGCGTCCTTCTATCTCCTGGTTGGCTTCTGAGCCATCTTTGGGCGTTCTTGGAGCGGTCTTGGGCGGATTGGGGGTCGTCCTGGAGCGGTCTCGGGGTGTTATTGGCGCTGAGGGGCTCTCGGTCCGCTTCTCTGCGCGGTCTGGGGCATTGCACTGAGGGGTTGTTGCGTGCGTCCCACGTTCCGACGGTTTGGCATGGTCTTCAGGTTTTCGCCAGCTCGCCGCCCGTGGCCATTTAGTCGCCGCCTCTGCGATGATATGGGCTTCGGTTCTCCGCCCAGTCGTCGCCAGTGGCCTCTCGTGGCCGCCTGGATGCCGTTTCCATTGCCGCCTCGGTGCCGCTCCGTGGCGCCCCGTCGCTGCCTCGTGGCCGCCCGTCGCCGCGTCGTCGCCACCCCTCGCGCTTGCACCACATAGACCGCACCACATAGCTTTCGCGACATTGGTAGCCTGCCCAGCTTACACAACGTATCGCACCACATCTCGTACATCAGGTACTTGACTTACACCACGCATTCTGCACCGCAGCCTGCACCACATAGCTGACACCACATGTATAGCATCGCATACCCTGCAGCACCTAGATTGCACCACGTACACGACACCACATGAAGTGCCCCACATAGTTTGCATCTCACAAATTTAACTCTTTGGACGTCCCATAGTGCACAACCTCAAGGATTCCGGTCCACGCTGTCAGATACGTGTCTAGATTATGTGTTGGTTTTTGAAGCGTCACCCGTGTCCTACATCGGACAATTTCTGACAGCCCTCGCAATTCGTGGAGAGGTCTTGGGAGGAACTTGTGGCGGCATCTCCGCGGTGCTCAGGGTTTCGCTGGTCGTCTTGAGTCTGTCGGAGTGCCGACGTGCGCTTTTTTGAAATTGTTTTGGCCCGGACTTATGACCGCGTTGCGACTATCGTGGGTTGTATTGGAATGTCTTTACAACGTGTGGGGACTTGCCAGGAGACTGTGAGTCCGCGTTGCTTGCCGTCCCACCACCGGTGATTTGTGTGCGTCCTCTGGACGAGTGCAACATCGCAAGGATTCGGTTCAAGAACTCGTGACGAGCATGTTTTCTTGCGGGGGCAATCGCTGCTGCGCAAAGATCAGTACACATGAGTACAGCGAAGGTTGCACCTAACGAGTTTGCTATGCGAACTTCCTGTACGAGTGGAATTTGATCTGGCTTTTGGGAAGCCCCCTGGGGGGCTCCAGAGGAGGCTCCAGAGGAAACTCACGAGACTCTTGAAACGGATTCCGCAGGCTCGCCTGGGTTCGTGGCGGCATTATCTGAGGGCCCGCTGGACCGCGTTGCGCGCGTTTAAAATCACAGGAGTTCATCACCTCGCTTTTCCTGCACAGGGGGGACGCGCATCAAGAAGCCGCTCGTGTTTGCCAAGGCTTCTCTGGCAATAGCCTCCCTTGTGCTCGGAGAAGGCGTGCGCAATGAGAACCCAGGGGGGAGTCATAGAAATGATGGTACGTTTCCCAGCGAGGACCCAACACAATGAGCACGTGTACTCTAGGTGTGCGCGCGATGTGGTGCAATAGATGCGCACTGAGCATTGTGGTGGATCCTGTGTGTGGTGCGAACTATGTGGTGCAAGCATTGTTGTGTAAGCAACGTAGTGCAAGGTCTACGTGGTGCAAACCAAGTGGTGCAATATATTATGCATGCTATGTGGTGTAAACTATGCGGTGCACGCGCGCTATTTTAACGAGGGGTGAGCAACGTTGTGCATGCAAGCTATGCGCTGCAAACACTGCTGTGCAAGCAGCGCGAGGCACCCACGAGGAGCCCACGGTCGTCCAGCAGGCGAAACCTCGGCAGACCCATCCAATTCCTGTCAAGATAAGTGGGAAGTGCAAGTACTGCTTGGGGAATTAGTGAGAAGCAGAGGAAGAGAGGTGCGCGGCAGAGCAGGGTTAGGGGCCCTCCAGAGGTCCTTCTGGACCCACCAGGACGCCCCAAATCGCCCAAGTCCCTGGAAGTTCGACCCTAGGTTCCAGCCCAGACATCCAGCGGATTGGTTCCCCGAATCAGGGCTCGCACCGACAGGTTTCTCGCAGATGTTGAACGAATTTGGCGAGGATGCGCCTGGCTCCTGGGCTCCCGATTCTGGCTTGTCGGTTTCTAGCAATGCAGAAATTTTTGGCGGAAGAGTACCGCCGATTTCCCCTACGCACGCCCGTCGAGGACTGCGTACGAATCTGCGGAGGTGTCGTCGCCCCTGGAGTGGAAGCTCCGCGCCTTCGAGGCTGAGATCGGGCGCATCTACAGGCCGACCACCACGCCGTCAGGGCGTCGCCGTCGTGGTCGTCGTGGTCGTCGTCGCGGTCGTCGTCGGCGTCGTCGTTGTCGTCTTCGTCGTCGTCGTGTTTTTCGACATCAGCTTCGTGGTCGCGGTGGATGAGGATGAGGAGGGAGGAGGAGGAGGAGGAGGAGGAGGAGGAGGAGGAGGAGGAGGAAAAGGAGGAAAAGGAGGAGGATGAGGAGGGACAGATAGACGAATGGGTGGATGGAGAGAAGGTAGGGAGGGAAGAGAGGGAGGAGGAGGAGGATTCAGCATATCGTCGTTGATGCTTCTGGTCGGCACAACGTGGCGGGGGAGATGGCTAGCCATCCCAGTCCAAGTTCGTTCGGAAGGGCCCGCTTTTGCGACGTGA